GGAATGAGCCCACTCAGCGCAGGATAAAGCCCGGCAGCAGTCAGCCCACCGTGCCCCTGCCCACAAACTGTCCACTCAGCTTAGTGTGTGTGTGTCTGTGCGTGTGTGTGTGTGTGTGTGTGAAGGTGATCAGAGAACCTGCAGCTATCAGATCTCACCACCTCGTTTCTCACTGTCCCCGCCTTTATTTACTCACTGTGTGTGTGATGTCATGAGCACCTGCAGATTGTCAAACCAGATAGTCAGTGTCTGTGCTGGATCTGCAACATTAAGAGCTCATGAAAACAAACAGGTCGGTGTCAGGAGGTTTGGCATAAATTGTCAGTGAAGTCACCGGCACGTGAGGGAAAGCTGTAAACAGTTGATCTCATCCTTCCACATTTTGGTTTCTGTTCAGAAAAAGGTCACCTGGGGTTGAGACCTGTGGCCAAAGTTAGAAGCCGTATGCTGCTGAAGTGTCTGTGTTTAAACCAGGAGTATGAGGGCCTGTATGAGGCCTTTCTACTACATGATGTAAACCCCAAATCATCACTTGGTAGCATTCCTGCCTGGAAAAGTAGTGATAGCTTTTGTTTTTCCCCACAGTTTTGTCTAAAAGTTGTCTAAAAGCACTTTATTATTGGTTGCAAAATTTTCCATGTAGCACAGCCAGTTTCCGTCCTGCAAATCTTTGCATATGGTCAATTTTCTGACAGTGTCTGAAGTAGCAACTTTTCCCACATTTCCAAGAGTAAAAACTTTTTTTTAAAGCTCAGCGCTTGCGTTGCATCACATGTCGACCTTTCTGTGCATGTGGAAAAATTTACCCCTCGCTATCAGATCTCTCTCGTCTAGAACTTCTTAAACGCGGCCAAAGACTATCTCAACAAATGTGTTTGTAATTACTAGGACAACAATAAATGTCTCTTACAGGAATTTTACGCTTTAAATTTGCTCTAATATGTGTAATTCTGTCTTTCTGTTCGCAGGATGAGGAGAACGGTAACGGAAAGGGTGAGCTGCTTCTATTTTTTGCCTTCTCAGTCTTTTATTAGTGCTCCAGTTAAAGCTTACTACAGGGATAGGGATAATGATGATGTAATTGAGGCAAGACCCTACTGTAATTCACTCATGTCTCGCCTGCTCTGCAGCCTTTATGCGCCACCTACAGGACACTATCCAGTACTACATCTAAAAATCCACCCGCAGTTAGACTTCTAGTTATCCAGCTTTTTCTAGTTTTCTTGACTTGAGATGCTGAAAAAAAGTGTGAATATTTATCAATAAATATCAATAAGAAATGTAATTTTACATAAATAAACATGCAGTAGTATAAGCTGAAAAAAAAATTACCTTAGTTTTGGACCCCACAGTCTGACAACCTCTGAGTTAGATGCTCATGGACGTATTTACTCGTCTGAAAAAGTGCTACTTTCAGCTGCTACCTGGTTCACTCGGGGTTGGAACAGAAGGTAGCTCTGCATATGTGAATTGGAAGAATTTAACAGGAGATGCTCTTCCTAACACAACCCACGAGGCATTTGCGCCTCCTCCCGGGATTCACCTGACGAGGGAGTTTTCACTCGTGGGGTGAACGTGTAAACGACTACACTGTGGAGCCACGTCACTCGTGTCAAAAACAAACCCTTAACAAATATCTGATGGGCGCTGATAGAAAGTGTCAGCTGTAACTGTTCGTAGGTGTAGCGCAGCAGAAGGAGAACAGATTTGTTTGAGCCTGCAGCTTTACTCGGCGCTTCTGAAAGATTTGTGGGTGTAGCGCTTATCAAACAACCAGCCTGGCGTGGACTCCCAGGTGATATTCATGAAGTAATCGCAAAACAAATACATCAGAGAGTACATCTGTATATAAATGTCATGTCTGCTTAGATATGCATGTGAATTTACCCAAATGAGTTCATGCAAAAAATGTAAACTAATGGATTGTTGTACTGTGCACCTCCAATACAGAATGGCATTTTATTTATGTTATTTTACTATTATTTACTATTTGACTATTGTTTACAATATTTGGATGATTAATAATATTATATAATATTATATAATGGTAAATGTTCATGCGTTAGAACGGTCATACCCACATGTGCATTTCTTTTTCTTTCCTCGTGCATTAACTGAATCTGTCTATGTCCTCTTTTCTTGTTGTCATTCAGGGTTTCAGAAAGGTCAGTTGGAGCCAATGGACACTATATTTGTGAAGAACGTGAGAGAAAAGGGTCCGGCCCATCAGGCAGGCCTGTGCACAGGTAAAAGGAACATGTTGTGCAGGAGCGAGGACGCCTCGATTTGCATTGGAAATCTGTTCTGCGCGCAGGTCACGTGACGCTGCATGAGCATGCAGAGAGAAGTCGACTAACAATAAAAACAAAGGAGACGAGAGTTACTACAGAACGAGAGCTCAGTGTGTGCGAGGTTTTCCTCTCGTGTATTTCTGTGACAGCAGAGCAAACCAGTACTCGGTGTTAAAGCACCAGCTTGATTTAACGCAAACTGACGCATCCACGGAGTTGCACGCTGCCTCAAACGTATGCAAAAACACGCCCTGCGAGCACCGCGTATGTGTTTCAGCTTGCATAAAGTAACCGCAAATGCATATAAAATTTGAGCAGGTAGTTATCGGACGCCTTTCCTCAAGGCCTTGGTTCACAAAAGCTGAGCTGTACCAGACATACCTGTTCTTTATGCTTGAAAGCTATTTTAATTTTATTGATGTACTTTTTTGCCTTTAAGACAAATTGAACACCACATGAAGTGAAAAAGTGTGAGATTAAGTTCAAGCTGGCTTTTGATGCCACCCAATACAGCTGATTTGCTTAATGTGGTTTTGGTTTTACTGACTTTAGACAGCCCAGAGTCAATTATTCAAAAAGTTCACTACTTATTTTTCACTCCGGGTCATTATTATTTTGATGTCTTCATTCAGGGAATTTACCCCTTACCCAGTTTCTTTATCATTTCCTCTTGCTTTAAAGGTCAGAGTTCGCTGATTCATTGTTTTCAAATGTATCAGTGATATAATATGACAATCTGTCCATGCTGTGCAGGGGATCGTCTGGTGAAAGTGAATGGAGAAAGTATTCTAGGAAAGACGTACTCACAGGTGATCGCCCTCATTCAGAACAGGTAAGAATCCCTTCCTGTGAGCCCCTTCAGAGCCTTTTAGGTGTTGATTTATAGGAGTCATAGGAGAGTGACACAAAAAGTTGTGATATGTGCACTGACTCGTGTATATCTTCATGCTTGCCAGCTCACCATCTGGCTATAAGCCGAGCTAGGCAGCAACAGGAATAGCTTGTTTCACCCTGAGATATGAGAATAACCTCATGACAGATCAATGCGACGCATCCAAATCATATCTAATGATCCAAATGTAATGTAGGAGGGAGTGCGTGACTTCACCTTTACAAATATACTTGTTTAACTGGGCCACAGGTGTTTGTTTTTTTAAATAACATAATTTCATCAGTCTAAATGCTAAAAATTCACACAAGGGCAAAAAAACATTAACTAAAAAATCCCAACAACCAACTGTTCTGATTGGCTTTCTGCCTTTCACATAGTTTGTTAGACTTTTGCTGCATATTATGAGTTTTAATGGAAGGTATGAAACATCAAGTGACATACATCAGTTCAGATTACCCGATGGAACTGATTCATTATCCTCCTGCTCAAATCAGTGTATTCCTAACTGGTATTCGTTTAAGAATAGCTGGAGTTTGTTTACGGTTTCTTTTGTATTTGATTTTATTGTATTTTTATTTTAGCTATAACAGTCCACAGGTACAAATGTTGCCTCTGAGGTCTTATTCTCGCTCTTGTCTCTTTTTGTCACACGTGTCCTGCAGTGAGAGCGTGTTGGAGCTCTCCATTATGCCAAAGGATGAAGATGTGCTTCAGTTGGTAAGTGTGAGTATGAGATTTTTCACACATATTTTACCCCACCCCACCTCAAATACACACACAAAATAAACCCACACATATTACATGCATTATTTTAGGACACTGCAGAAGTCTGCAGAGATGATTCACGGCGTCACTGTTGAAGAATTTCAAGATTTTGTTAGAATGGCTGCAGAGTGACTCACAAGCTCTCCGCTCTGTGTTTAGATTACAACACATGATCATTTAAAACCACTGGTATCTGTCAAAGTTTGTGCTTGGGAAAAAAAACCAACCCAAAAACGCGGTTGTCGCTCACACGCCCATGTTCCGTAAAACACATTTTTATCGCTCCACAGGTTGCTCTTTCACAAGATCCAACATGCATCGTTAAATGCCCCTCCCATTAACCTGGAGCAACTCGTCGACACACACAAACACCAGATAAGCTGATTTAACTGGTCTTTCTCACAGACGCAGAAACATCACCGTTGCTCCCAGAAATGCCCCAAACTGCCCTCTCCTTCCAAGCGTCCTGCCGTGTCTTAATATTATAAACCCCCTCCTCTGTTGTCTCGCTCCTCCCCTCGCTGCTACGCCTGTATTTGCTGCATTCCTAGCATGACCTCACCAATCCCGCGCACCTCCCTCCACACTCCCACAGGGTGGAGTAAGATGAGGAGGAGGAGAGAGGGAGTTTGGAAAGATCTGAGAGAGGCAGAAACGAGTCGATAGAGCAGATAGAAAAGTCACAAATACAAAGGAAAAGAAAAGAAGTTAAAGTCTGGATGTTTTAGGACGAGGACGCGGTACAAAATGAAGAGCAGAATGTTTTAGCTGCAGAGCTGTCGCATCCGCGGTGTTAGTGAGCTCTTCTTTTTCTGCTTGTGTGGCTTCGGTCTTAACGCACAAGCTGTGGCAAGGCTCTGGATTCTGTTGGACAGCCTAAACGTTTCATTAGGTAAACCTTTAAAAGTGTCAAACTGTCTCTGATTTAAAATGTCTTTGTCATGCGAGTTTAAAAATAACTGGAAGTAGGTGTGTTTTTGGTTTAAATGTGGCAGCGTGGCCGATTCCTGAAATGATCGGGTAATTTAAAGCTAGTTGTTTATATTTGGATTCTCCTAAAGCAGCAAAGTGTGTGTGTGTGTTCTGTATTTGTTTAGATAACATTAGAGGATACTTTTGTATTAATAGCTAGCTGCAGTGCGGTGAGTGTTGTGGCTTTTTCTCGGGGGAATTCTTCCAGTTTGGTAGCTAGTTTGTGTTTGTGTGGAGAGCCGAGGCCTCGGGGACAAACTGTGGCAATAACGCAGAAGCTTCCCCTTTCAGGCTGTTGTTGTGTGTAAAGCAGAACGACACTGTGCCGTTGTCAAACTTGTTTACAGGAGGAGGCCATTTTTATTTAAACTTCTCATTCCACACATACATAGACGCGCACACAGACACACACCTACCTACCTACCTTTGTAATTTCCCATTTCTTCCTGTCACGTCTGTTCTCACGGTTCCTCCATCTTCCCTCCTTTCTCTAGGCATACTCCCAGGATGCCTACCTGACGGGTAATGAACCGTACGCTGGGGGAGCTGAAAACCTTCCGCCGCCACCCCCCCTATGTTACCCACGCTCCAAGACGACGTCGGTTTCTGGAGCTCCCCTCTCATCCCCCATGGGCCAGAACCAGCTGGATAACTGGAGTCGCTGGCCAGGTTCTTCCAGCCCCTCATCACCCTTGGACAACCGATCTGCTGTGTGCAGCCCCGCCAGCTGGCAGGAGGGGCGGCCAGGCGAGCCCGGTGGTGTGGGTCACAGCAGTCCAGCCCACCGCACAGAGGAGATCCAGTACGGTATGACCAGCCAGCAGCCTCAGGGCCAGATTAGGGGACGCTCCTACTCTTCGTCTTCCTCCTCCGGAGGCCCTTTGTCCAGCCCGCTACAAGTTCACTACCCCAACCACCATGGTGCCAGCTCTTCACAGGCTCAGCCACGCAAGTCCAGCTCAGCCTGGACCAGTCCCCCTCAGCCACAGGTCAGCCACAGCCGCAGTGACCGCTGCCAGCAGGCCCTCTCTGACTGGTACTACAACCAGCAGCCGGATCGCTCAGTACGCAAGATGCAGACCCGCCATCGGAGCTACTCTCAAGACCGGCTCAGTGAATCAAGGAGGCAGCAGCAGCGTACAGGTGGCTGGCCACACAGCGCCTCCCAGGACACGCTGCTCTTACTTCAGCAGTCAGGACCCGGACCCCAAGGGGAGCCATACTGGACCTACGGAGAGCACACTGCCACTAACTATACTCGAACACGCTCGGAAAATTTGCTCGCCTTCTACGACCACCATGGTCGCTCGTCAGAGATGTTGGACCGAGGAGCAGCTGGACTGGTCTCGCCTCGGATTGACAGGCCCGCGTGGCTCCAGCAGGCCCCCCAGCCTCCCCCGAGGACTGACGCTTACCACAGGCAGGGCAACCATTTTAGCGCAGCGCAAGCTCCTCAAGTGTCCCGGCAGTCACAGCCAACCTCTAAACACCACCCGCAGACCCACACCCAGCCACAGCCGGCGCCCACTCAGAGCAGGCGGCTTCCTCCTGGACAGAGCGTGGACGACCAGCCGGTGGGCTACCGTAGCTACAGCCCATCTTTTTACCGCAAAACAGGCCGCATCCTGCAGCAGGCTCATTCGTTCAGGGACCCTTCATACTCTGGCCCCCACTTAAACTGGAACCCAGTACCTAAAACCAGCCCTCCAGAGGGGACGCCAGCACCTCCCACTGCCTCCACCACAACTCCAGTTGCCTCCGCCACGCCTGAATCCCAGGACAGAGGGTACAGGCCAACAAACCACGAGAGGGAACGAGGGGCAGTGGAAGGGCAGGCTGAATTGGTGGCACAGACCCAGGAAGTGGTGATGAGGCAGAAACCCCCCACCGGGCGGAGAAATGTCCAGGGTATGCGTCACCCTCACTACGCCCTGCCTTTGGATGGGCTAGAACCCTCTTTGTTTTCTCCTGATCCCAAAGACTCAGCCCCAGCTCCCGGTTCCACAGGAGATGTAGCCTCAGGCAAACCAAATGGAAACCTTGCTCCCCTCCCACTAGAGGATGACTCTCTGGCCTCCATCCCCTTCATAGGTGAGTAGGGAGCCTCCAAGCTTCCTCCCATGTCCCTTCTCCTACTTCCCTAACACAAAAAACCCCACACTGACCTTGAGATTTCATTAGTCGTCCTCTAAAATGTAATCTACACTGAGTGTTTACTGAACGTTAGCGAAAGCTTAACCGAGAGGAAATGCAAAGCAGATGAAAATTAGAATTTGTGTGTTGTTTAATTTCCTCCTCGTCTGCATATTCAGACGCCAGAGTCTGCCCAGACGCAGTTTCCGATCCGTCTGTGAATGTTTGCGTTGGGTATAGCGGTATTCCCACAGTCTTACGCACCATATTAGTCGTATGTGCGATGGAAGTTCACTAATCCTGCTGGCTGCCCTCCTGACTTTAAGGTCACCTCACTGTGCTGAGGAAATGAGGTGGAGGTCTGGACTTCCTGAATGTGGGTTGTTGTTTAGAGGGATAATTTTCAATTTCACATCTGTGGAGTTTGATTTTGTGTGTTGAGGCGCGACAGGAGCTCAACAGCTACTGACAGTTCTCCGAATGGTTTTAATCTAAACCAGTAATACTAATAACGATCTGTCATAGCACCGTCCAAGCAGGACTTCCAGTCTTTTCTGTTTGTTTTCTACAGTTATGGCCTGCATATGTTGCCGTCAGTGGGAGTTGACTGCGATCGTGTTCGAGCTTGTTTCTTGCTCTGAAAAGGCTCAAACAGAAGGGGCCCTGTAGGCTTCTGATTAGATTCTATCACTTGACACGGACATTAGTCAAAGTCAAACCACAAGCAAATGAAGTCAGCCGGTGAGGCTGGACTTGCCTATATCGCCCACTCGCAGCCTGCGGAAAACTTGCACTAATGTTGAATAGATTCAAATCAGCTGACTGGGAAGCTTTGACCCATCTTGGAATGACTGGATATTTGAGCCAAGCTGCGCTCTGCCCCAGAGAGTCATTTAAAGAGAGAAACTACAGGAAACCAGGAAGGCATCTCTCGGCCTCTCTGTCAATCCGTCAGAGCACATTCTTGCCTCGTACTTTCACCTGAATTAAACGAAACCAAGCAGCCAGAGCAGCAGGTCAGGACATGTTTAATATCCATAAACTGAAACTAGGATAGACAAGAAGTAGTCGTTCTGTCTTTTTCTTTCTTTCTTGCTTTCTTGCTTTCTTGCTTTCTTGCTTTCTTTCCTTCTTTCCTTCTTTCCTTCTTTCCTTCTTTCCTTCTTTCTTTCTGTTTCTTTCTTTCTTTCTTTATCTAACTGACGCAGATGCTGATATAATCGGAGGCTGTTTAGGGACATGCAATTTCACGGGCTGTTGTTTTTCTTCTTCTTTTCAAAGCAAGGGTGTCTGTGAGATAGCAGTTCAAAGGCAAACCGTGTCTGAATGCAGATACCGTATGTTTTTATCAAATCTCGTACACCATATTGAATTTCCCCTAAATTCAATGAAGTGTTTAATACTTTCTCTGTTTCTGGTAGCTCGTACGAAATGAAACGACAAATTATATCGAACGCTGCTGCAGGATTTTATTGTGCGCCCACTTGGAGTCTTTGTAAGCTATAAATTGCCAGGAGGTTTTTGTCATGGTCCTTGTGGGGGAACAGTGGGGGCTCCCGCCTTCAATGCAGCTATTGTACTGCTCTACTAGATGAAGGGTTTTATGTGGGGGGTTCATTCTATGACTGTCTTTACTAGCTGGACCCTGGACATGATGGACTTCGTGTACTGGCCCTCTGTGTTTTCTTACAGGCACCTGCTTTCAATTACTTTGTATTGAAAGCTCAAGCTCATTCTCTCTCATTTTTCTTGGTCTAAACTTCTCTACATTGAATTACAGTTGCTACAGGTTAGTTTGATAGTCAGTTAATTCTTTGAGATATTTCGTAAGCAGGAGTACAGGGGTATTAATCACCCCCAGCAGCTAGTAAAACATGCTGCAAAAACTCAGGCCTCAGACTATTTATATTCAACTCTTGGCTCTGTATGATGTCAGAGAGAAGGAATATCCCTACGAAACTCCACATGGAGTTCAAACCTTCTAGTTGTGAGGGACAGCCAGTCAAAGGAAAGCTGGCATCTTTGCCCTAAAGGGAGAGGAGCTAAAAGGGTTGGTTTCTGATAGTTCAGAGTCCAGGAAATGAGGTCCAGTTTAGATGTAATAAAGATAAATAAGAATTATTTGGAACTGTATATCATGCAGAGGATAAAAACTAGAAATCAAGCACAATAGGTCCCTCTTAATAAAGTAAATATTCCAAAGAGGAATGAGTCTTTAAGCGTTTCTTCTATCTTCACCATTCGTCCAGGATAAATATGAGTCAGGAATTCCTCGTTTACTATACGTACTGTAGAGCAGCAGCACAGTGTACTTCAGTATGCTGCTCCCCTCTGCTGGTCTGTCTCTGTGTCGTGTTTCTGAGCTCACTCTGGCTGCCTGTTAATGACGGCCTTTGTTAAACCCACAGCCCGGCTATTTCTGGGCCGTGCTGTAAACAGGCAGATTCCTTATCCCAGACTGGGAATGTTTTCCGCCTTGTGTCGGCCTCTAAAATGCACAGGAGTGAAGAATAGAAAAGCGAGGGCGGGAAGAAGAGCGTGAAGAAAGGGAAGAGACGAAGGATGTTAGAGGACTGGACTGTAAGAAGAGAGATGGTTATTAAAATAGGCAAAATTAAAGATGAAACCAGTGCAGGGTTTTTCTAAAATGACCATGTGGTGGTCAGTTGAGGTGTGGCGGAGTGAGGCTGTGCTGCCCTCTGCTGTTTCCTCCGAGAGCAAACCACAGCCTCGACGCATTTCGGTCCTGAGAGTTTAAAACATCACGGCAAATCCAGCTTCTCCTCACTATATGCAAATATCAGACCAGCCCCTAATCCTCACAGTCAGTCAGGAAGTGTGAGCGTGTTTGTGTATGAATGTTTCTGTGAGTTAGAGTTTCATATCCCTTTACTTCACCTGAAACTGCTGATGACTAGTAGCCTGTGTGATCCTAACCATTTTATGCCTTTGTCTTCTTAAAAACTACGTTTCTTTATCAGCATAAAAAAAATCCCCAGAATTCTTATGTTGGAAAGGAAAGGAAAAGATCATTCATGCCCAATAATTTATTTTCTACCTTTTGGACAGTAACGATTTCTCTTGCATGTATCAGATCATGCCTACGCTGGGGTAGATTTCACAAAGAACTGAAACCATGAGCCAGTAAACCTGTAACAAAACCCCCTCCTCTCTGTTAGCTACTGAACAGTTCTTCCTATGGCAGCAGAAGACGCAGGTATTGTATTTTCTGTAAGCTTTTTGCCTGTTCAGCCATGTTCCTGTGTGACTTTTTCTTACTGTAGTTGGGTCGCAGCAATGCTTACTTTCCTCAGAGAGGACAGGAGCTTTTAGTGACTTCATCTGTGTGTTCTTAAATGACCATATAAATGTATGTTTCTGACTTTCTTGTACTTCTCACGGGAATCTGGAAGTGCATCATGTTAAAGTGTTGTGGTAAATGTTTTAAGGTGGTAGTCAAATTTAAAGATAAAGTGAAAGAAACTGTGAAAAGCGTTTTCTTTTTAAGTTTCTCTGATGGTAATCCTCCAATTCCTCATCGTTCCTCTACCTTAAAACCTCTCCTCTCCTTACTTTCCCCTAACCCAACCCATTTTTTTCTTACCTTCTCGCCCTTTTTGCTAACACCTAACCCGTCTCCTTCTCTTTCCCCGTTTCCTTCCTTCCCTCCACCCGCCCACAGACGAGCCAACCAGCCCCGGCGCCGATTTGCGCGCCCGGCACGTGCCGGCGTCCTCCGTTGTCTCCAGCGGCATGAGTTCAACGCCCGCCGTGGTCAACAGCCCCGCATCCCCCACCTTCACCTTCCCCCTCACTAGGCTCTTCTCACACGACTGCAGTGAGTGCCCCCTCCTCCCTCCCTTCCTCGCCACTGCATGCAGCCAAAAATTAAGATTCTCTTTTTATTTCCGATGTGGATTTATAAAGCATGAGATTTGAA